TCACATATAGTTTTTCTCGAGTAGGAACTTTGATTTTTTTTTTTTTTTTTTTGCTTGTTTGATATTGAGATAACAATGCAGTAATATTAAGAACTCTAAGGACAAGCTTGATGTCGTTACTTTTTATAGAATAGCGAAACTTCTTATAGAATAACTTCGCTATTCTATAATTTTTTTTTCTAAATATACGAAGTATTTTCAGAAAATTATTCAAACATGTTTAAAAAAGGCTTCTTAACGTTATAAACAACTTTGTCTTTTCAAAACTCCTGCAAAATAGGCCCTAGCACTTAAATTGGGAGTATGGATTTTCTAATGTGAGTTGCTATTCATCATACTATTGATATATTGGATTGTCGAATTCATTAGAGTGTGACAGTCAAGTTAGTATTGAATTCTATCTATTGCTCGAAACTAAGCACTTTTGAATGATTTTAAGAAAAAATGCTTATTTGCAGTGCTCGTGAGGGAAAAAAAATTAGTTGCCGAAAGAATCAATTAAATGTTTGTTAAAACTTTTGTTTCAGAATTACTGCATGTTTCAAAATAGTATTTTAACGTTGGTAAGTAAAAATTATTTATTATGTGCTGAATACAATAACATAAGAATTATAAAATTATTCTTTTTCATTATTATTATTATTATTATTATCATCATGAATGGTAAAATCATTAAAATGTGTTGTTCGAAACAGTAAAAGATGTAACCTAATAATTCCTAAATTCAAATTTAAATAATATAATAATCGCTTCATAAAAATTAAATTAATCAAAGATATATATAACTAATTTTTGTTCTACCTTTTTAAAAAATATTCTACCCAGATTTTGGCTAAAAAAATATCCTATTGGTTCATTAATGATTTTAAGAATTAGATATTTTGGGAAGATTATTCTTTAATTGATTATGGTTTCTTAAATAAATTAATTTAAAATATTGATTACAAAAAAAAATTTCAACTATCGAATTTATATAAAAAAATTTAAGCTGTAATTTAAAATGAGGAAATTAAGAAAAATAAATTATAAATTGAAAATTACCTATTGTCACATTGCGATGCGACACCGGTAGGACCGTCCCTCGAATACAACCAATACCCTTTTTTTTGCCATCCCCATAATAACCATCGCGGCAATAACACTTATAAGAACCCAAAGTATTGTTGCAAATTCCATCGGAGACGCACG